GACGGCATTGTGAGAGTAGCAGTCATTCGTACACAAAATGGTCTGGTCAAGAGAGCCATTGCCAAAATCGCCGTTCTGCCAATCGAGACCACATCGGTTGAAAGCTTGTATCTTCCAACGGGGGGAGCATGTTCGCAGCAGAACGCCCTCTGAATAATATTATATCTGAATTACAATATATCTTTACTTCTCAAATCACGATATTGAAGTCACATACTATTATTTTTAAACCACCATAAAATACCATTGTAAATTGCTCACCACTAATCTATCGATAGTTATTGTTGAAAGTTCGAGAAGTAAATCACGCATTACAAGCAGTCTAAAGGCTCCTTTGATTTTTATTAAAATTTATAAAACATAAAAGGGGCCGAAGTGGGGTGCAAACTAGCATCTCCTCAAAACAGGGTATTCTAACTATTCAGAAGTTCTGTAACCAAATACCACTAACCTTCTCATATACACATTTTTATCTAATCTATGAGAAATATATAATATCGTATTTAGTATGCAACTATTAGTACAATCAATAATAATTGTTTTCTTTAAACATTCTATACCATTTCTATAAATAAGGGTATCAATGCCTCGACGCGCCAAATAGTTGTTGGCATGTGTGTCTCATCTCACACACATAGGCAAAAAATATGCATGTATGTGTTTTCCAAGCCAAGGGAAGTATATAAATTTAAGAAGATTGCAACATGCTGTTGCGCATGTGACGTCACAAGCTAGGGCTTTTTGTATGCGACCGTTGCGTACAATAAAGTAATACATTATTAAATACATGCATTTTTATAAAAGACCCCATTAATATATTACTTTAATGTACGTAATAAAGATAGAAATATATTCTAAGCATCACAAGAAATGAAATTCTTTAAAATGTGATGTCATAGTATATGATGTTGACGCGCCGTATGCGTAACCCTTTGATTTGAATGGCATGGCATTCAAATTTTCTACCTACTTGTGCCGAACCTCGGCTATGCAACAACAACATTAGAACCCAAATAGTTGTTGTTGTTGTTACTACGCGCCGCCTTGTTGGAACGACAGAGAAACCAGCAACAAACACAGTGGCAATATTTGTCCCTTTTCTTTGCACTGAGTTTCCTATGTCCTTATCTTCGCTCACAAACTCTTGATGATCAAGACGGACGACGGAAAAAAAATGGGTTTTCGTGCGCACTGTTGTTGTTTTGCGAGTGATTTGTTGTTGCAATGAGTAAATGAGTAAATGAGCTCTATTTTTGAATTGGATTTTGCGTTTGCGGACCAACCCGATCTACCTCTCGGGATTTTCAAAACGGTAAAAAAAGCTCGGAGTGAGCCTTCAGCTCTGTCTCTTTATTACTCAATGTGCATGACCTATCCCAAATTTGTATTCACATACGAATTCATGTTGTGTACTGAGGTTGGCTCCATAGAAAATCTGTTTTTTAAAGTCGATGCAAATATTTATATAATTTCTTTAAATAAATGATAAATTATTTATTATTATTTTTATTTTATTAAAAATAAAATAGTGCAAAATATACAACACAACAAATATACGTCGGCAGCTATAATATATGTTTATATTGTCTTTGGTTGGACCATCTATTTCTGAATATAATAGCCCACATCTATTGGTACCCAAGAAATCTCTCCCACACTCTTATGAGAGAAAATGGCGTTTTGTAGTTGATTAACGCCAAATAAATAAAAAACTTTTAACAGACAAATACCCACTGCCAAGAATCAAAGAAATCCTAGACCAATTAGGTCGAACAAAAAATTTTTATCTCTCAATTTTATGTCTGGATTCCACCAAATAGAATTAGATGAGAAATCTTGAAATATATAACATCATTTTCCATGAGCTCCGGTTCTTATCGCTTCACGCGACTATCCTACGGCTTAAAAGTAGCCCTAAGCTTGTTTATGCGAATGATGACACTCGCATTTACCGGTCTTGAACCATCACAAGCATTTCTCTACATGGATAACTTGGTAGCCATTGGCCGTTCTGAACAGCACATGTTTAGAAATTTGTCTAATATTTTTTATCTGTGTAGAAAGCATAAATATTTAAAAATATTTTATTAATCTGTTTGCCTTCTCGGCTTATTTTCTTTTATCGCAAGTGCCTACTTATGGCCTCTGTATTTAAACATATGAATATTGTTAGTTTTAAACTTGTGTTTTTGTGCATTTTTGTTTGTGCGCTTGCTCTGTTAGCTCTGTGGGTAAGCTGCGTGTTGTCGTTTATGTATAACTGCATATCGGCTCTCTTGCAGGACCTTGTGAGCAAGCAAGTAATCTATAAATAGATCACTCGCTCGCGCAATCGCGCCTTTTTTCAACTTCTGCTTTGATCTATTTCTATTTTCAAACTAACTCTCTTGAAACATTGGGCTGCGTTGTTACAGTATAAACCCATAATAATGGATCATACAATTGTCTGCTTCAAAAAAGCTTGTCAAAAGCAAATTGCGGCAAGTCAATCGAACCTTGCATAATGTCGTGCATTCTAAATGTGCGGATTCTTTGGCCTAGTGGGGGATGCTATAGCACAACGAAATGGTTTGCACTTTAGTTGCGAATCGTATAGAGAGATTGATGGCAAAATGCGGGCGTTTATGCGGCAGACCAGGACTGGATTTAGAGGGCTGATTGTTGGATTTCGCAAACTAAACGATCAGCTCACAGCCCAGGATACCCAATTCAATAGCCTAAAACTGTTGGATAAGACTCCAGGGTATAAAAAGTTCACTCCTCGTGACTTGCCGTTGCCAAATACCCTTCAGCCTCCGACGGCAATTCAGCAACCTTCTACCTCGATCACATAGCAGCTCATCTTTTTTGTTACTGCGGTATCTGTAAGGTCTGCTGTGGCACTAGTTCTGTTTCGAAATATGTGATCGGTATGAGAAAAACGAATTGACTTACCCGAGTCGTCCGCTGTCGTAGAAATTGCTGCAGAGCGACAGCAACTATTAAATTTACAGCGGCCGCTAGAAGGCTCGTCGTCCGGACTACCGTCTGTTTTAGGTACCATAGCTAATAGTGTTCCCACTGTCCCACCTGTGGCCCCTAAGCCTCTAGTGGGCGTCCCCTCAATTCACATCGGATGGTGTAAAAGCTTTTTTACAGGCAATAATTCAAGCCCCAGACATAACTGTAGGAAAACTTCAAGCTTACCTATGAGAGGGACATTTCATCCTTGTAAATAAATGTTCCACCAGAAATATTTACAAGAATCTGATAGGGACCTCCCAGATGTTGATTGGTCATCGCCATTGAATTGAAACTATCTGTTTCCCTCCTCAAAGGAATTTATTGCTGGCCTACATGAAATGTCCCTACGGCAGGTTAATCGGATGCGTAATTCATGAAATATGTCTATTGATCTGATCTTAATGTTGGATTCGTTCGACAGTGTTGTACACAGGATTGACCCACTTACACTTCCTGAAGACCCTTTTCATCCAACTCTGGATATAGCCCGAGTGCCTATCAAGGGTTCGGAATTAGCTGATCGTGTAGATTGTTTTCGTAAGGCTGATCTTGATAAGCTAATTGATCTTATTCTGAAAGTCGATTGATCACAACTGTACAATTGTGCAGATATTGGTGTTTAAATAAATTATTTTATGATACCTTGTACTCGATCTTCGTTATCTGCGTCCCTCTTGATCACCCAGCGAGGTCTGATAGGCCTCTCTGGTTCTCAACTAATGAGATTAAAAAATGGGAAGTTTAAGAAATCGGGAAATCACTATAATTGCTCCCGCTATGCAGTTTCCCGATTAAACTTTTCGACGCGAAATTCCATAAAGATTACCTTCGCCGTTGTTGCCTTCAGTTTGCAAATAATCCCAAGATACTTTTTAACTATTTTTAACTCCGATCTTAACCGATCTTAAAACTTTTTGAATTTTCTGTGAACACCTCATCTTTTCCTACCATTTGGAAAAAATCGTTTATTATCTGCAACTGCAACGTTTATGTAGGTCTATTATTTCACCTTCCCACCCTTCCCTGCTTGAGTAAAGTTTGCTAGCGATTGATGGGTATAAGAAAATAATTCAGACTGACGTCACTCCTTAATGGTTCATATATTATGCCTTATCGGATTCCCAGTCAATCTTTTAAACTCGATTTCAGAGAATTTACGTGACGATCCGTACACGACAAAGTCCCTTTATATATCTTTGGTACGACCCATACTAAAGAACGGCTCATATATCTGGTCGTTATAATATTCTATTCATCAATATAGAATTGAATCTGTACAGAAACAATTATTGTTGTTTGCCCTTCGTGGCTTTAAACTTAGATACCACAGTCTTTCCTCCTACGCCCTTCAAACTCCTGACAGTAATGAGCTTAAGATTTAAGTAGTAGCGGCAGCAATCCATGCTTTTTAAATATACTTTAACTAAACAGTCGATAGGTTTAATCGCCGCACAACAATTAGCTTTCAGGAATCATTAAGTTTTTTAAAATCAGCAATGAGCTCTGCGATAATGAGCTTTTCTTATTTAAATTCGGAGGATCACCTCTGAAAAAAATACCAGATGATAAAATATTAAAAAATACTGACCACAGTAAAATATTTGTTCCTTACCTGGCGACCCATATGTATCTATTAGTGTATGATATTTGTATACGTTTGTTCATATTATATGTATTCATTTGTATATTTGTATTGTGAGATGGCACAGCCAACCTGCTCTAGAAGTAACGCTAATACAGAAGTTACAGAATTTTCAAAAATGCGTCATTCTAATCATAGTGATTACACTATGAGTGCATGGAACTACCACAAGCTTTAGTTTAGTGCCATCCAAATGGCTTTTTACAGCGAAAGGAAACATTTTAAAAAAGTGCGTATCCGCATACTCTTAAGGTCTTTCCTAACTTATATATTTAAGTATTTAAGCTTTACTGAAAAATTTTTAGATTTGGTTTGAATATTACGATACATCGAGGCATCCATAAATAATATTCACCTGTATATTGGAGTAGCTTTGTCATCTCGGTACCACAGAACTAATATAGCTTCATCACCGTCGTTAGTTGTTACATTACATGGAAGGTAAACATTTTCAGCAGTCAAAGAATCTATCGTCTGAATGAAAGCTAGAATTTATAAAATATTAAAATTTAATTTAATTGATAAATTCATTCATTCAGCAGTTTTAGGCTGAGTTAAATATAGCACTATTAATAAAACGGGTAAATTCTTTTATTCCCTGAACTCATTGGCAATGGAAAAAATCCGTCCGCCCGTTTGAATGAACGCAAGGATCTCGGAACCTATAAGAGCTAGAGACTTGAACATAGGTCCTCCTAGTGCCCCAGCAGTACGAGTTTACGAGTACGAGCCCCGATAGTCGATAAACAATCGATAAAAATCAATATCGAAATCCTTTTCTTTCAGCAAATCTCGTAAGTTGACATGTAGCTTCTTGAAAAGTATATAGATATCAAGTATCTTTAATTTTATAGCTATTGATACCGCTCCGCCTACACAACAAAGATATAAATCAAATAAATAAATCAATTGGAACTACTCACCAATTTAAGCCACAACTTTAATGCAATTGTCTTTTTGGATTATACGAATATTCTATACCATAATAAGATCAACTGATGAAAATTTCTTTAAGATCGGTTGGGAAACACAAAAGTTATTTGAAAACAAGTAAGAGGTTCTAGTCGGGAGCTCCCGACTAGGGGATACCCTGAACCCTCTTATTCCAACACCAAATGCAGCTCGCGCTACGCGTTTTTTTGATTTAGTAGTAATAAAGAAAAATGAAAATAAAATAAAAAATCAGTTGCGAGTTCGAACCCTGCCAAGGGAACTTTTTTTTTAAAGCGAACGGGCGCGTTGGTGTTGGAATAAGAGGGTTCAGGGAATCCCCTAGTCAGGAGACCACCGCCTAGAACCTCTTACTTGTTTTTGCATATACTTATTACTGCTATCCTCCTCAATGACTTTTGCTGCAACGCATTTGCATATGAATCAAGTGCTAAGCGAAAAAATCATTCTTGCCATTGCAAGGTTACAAGTGCGAGATTTAACAATTGCGTATATAAACTAAGTATTCCTGTCCGCGATGCTACAGTTATTGGTGTCGAACTTCCTTCTTATATGGTTACCGGTGATGCGCTCTCAATGGACATCGAAGTTTGATTTCACTTTGGAAGACACTGACCTTGTGACTCAGCAATAAAAGGAATATATTTAAGGCGATGGCCGCAGCAATGTTTATTAGTCGAGTGTCGACTTTAGCAATCTTACCAGAACTGAATCTAGGGCCCTAAGCTACAAAGCTATAGCCAGCAAGCCGACTCAACCTAAGCGATAACGTTGATCTTGCGACACATGCAAGATATCAGGCTACCGCTGCTGACTGTTGCGATCAGGGCACTGAACCGGATCATACGCTGCGTCAGCACCATGCGCGCAGTTATTAGGGTTGCTTACACAATACTAAAAAGCAATGTACGAGGGGCACTCGTTTAGTACTCTCCCCTCAGTACCGGGTCGTGACCAATTCTATGAGAAATCAATTTTTAAAACTTAATGCAGCTAAGCTGCTCTCGAGTAACTTTGACTCGAGTTTCGAGTTGCTTAGCAAATACAAATTCGAGCCTCCACCCAATCGCTGGTTAGAGCCTCAATTTTTGCATTTGCCCTCCGTCGGTCCATACACCTACTCCTCTTTTGTCCCTGCCTAACAACTTGAATTTATCTCCAATGTTGTCTTTATCGCCTTCTCCTAGCGTTTGTCCCTTATTGTATCCCCTGTAGTAGTCCCAGTAGTCCCTGCAGTTGCACCTGCGCAAGTGAGCGAAACTGCTTCAGTACCGTCCACTTTTGGCCGCAAAGGTAGACCTGAGCGAAATCTAGCCCAGATTGTAAAAAGCAAACTCGGTGCCTATTTGGCCCCACCAACTCAAGTGTTACCTTCAGCCCAATCAGCTCCTACCTTAACTGTTGTTGCCACCCGGAGGCAAGTTTTTGTGTCCCGACTTTCGTCTGACACAACTTGTGAGTCATTGGGTGCCTATATTGCTAGCAAATCTTTTGCTAGCATGTCAATTACCAAATTTAATTTCTCCACCCCTCGTGATATAGCATCATTTAAAATTAATGTTTCACATGATATCTTCCCAATCATTTGTGATTTTAAATTTCGGCCTCCGCTCATAATTGTTCACAAGTTTAAGCAAAAACAGCGAAACCCAGTCACCCTTTCGGTCCCCTCGATACAAGGTACCGTTACTGACCCAAAAAACTAAATTCGTCTTCCGACTTAGTTTCCATTCATTATCAGAATTTCAGAGGCCCATTTCCAAACTTAAACATCTTTTTATGGCTACCGCTTCAGAAGCATGGTTAAATTCAACCATATCTGATTTTGAAGTTTTTCCCAACAATTTTATTGGGGTATTAATTTTTTTGGTGGGGTATTAATTGCCGTTAAAGACACTCTCCAGTCAGAACTTTTCTGTTTTAGTACCCCTACTGACGCTGAGATTATCTCAGTTAAGATTTCTTTTCCTACACGGAATATCTATATTACATGCTCCAAAGCTCCAACTTCTTCTGATATTCAAGTTTATATGAAACATATTACTTGAATTAAAGAAGTTTCTACACACGTGCGTGATAATGACAAACTTATAGTGTTAGGTGATTTTAATTTACCGACCATTTTTATTTTTTTGGTTATTATATACTGGTGAAAATTATGTAGTACCCTCAACCCAGCATGACTTTTTAGATTGCATGCTAGACCTTTCGTTGCCTCAAATCAATTCAATTTCTAATCATTTGAATAGAACAATTGATCTTGTATTTGTAAACGACTACCCTATTGCTTATGTTTCCAGTTCCCCTCCTTTATCTCTTCCTGAGGATGTATATCATCCAACTTTGAAAATTGCAACTCTCTCATTTCGTGCTCATCAGCTATCAATATGCCCCGCCGTTGCTTTTGCAAAGGAAACTACTCCTTGCATAATCAACGTATTCATGCAACTGATTGGTCTTTTTTACATGACACCCTAAACTCCCTCCTAGTTATGTGTATTACCAAGACAATTCCTTCGACTACTTCTTCAAAACCATCCTGGTCCACTTCCAGATTATCTAACCTAAAAAATATAAAATCTAAATTAAAAAAAAATTTAAAAAGTTTAATAAGTCTGGTTCGAGTACTGACTTGGCTAAATATTCCATAGCCAAGTCGAACTTATTTCTTCTGAATTCTCAATGCTATGAATTGCAAAGTGCAATTTGCCATCTTCTTTTTCTCTCGGGATGGATAAAGCTAGCAATGACTCTGATTCTGCTAACCTCTTTGCTAATTTTTTCCAATCAACCTACTCTTCAGTCTGTCCTAAAAATAATTCTTACCCTTATACTATTACTTCCTCTAGTTCTATACCTGTTCCTATTATTTCCCACTCCTCTCTCCTTTTAGCGATAAATTCTTTAAAATCTTCTTACTCTCCTGGGCCTGACAATATTCCTAGTTGTCTACTCAAGGAGTGTAGTTCTTCCCTTGCTTATCCATTTCTTAGGCTTTTTAATATATCCCTTGAGTCTTCTGTCTTTCCATCTCTTTGGAAAGAATCTTATATCATTCCTCTCCACAAGAAAGGTGGAAAGTCTGATATACAAAATTACAGGGGCATTGCAAAACTGTCCGCTATTCCTAAGCAAATCAATTGTCACCCCTGTGCAACATGGATTCGTAAAGAATCGGTCAACTACGACCAAACTGTTAGAATTTACTTCCTTGGTAAATGATACTTTCCTTTCTAAAATGCAAACTGGTGTCAGTTACACTGACTTCAGTAAGGCGTTTGACTATTACTCTTTAAACTTGACCGATTAGGTTTCCCTCCGTTTCTTTTGCTTTGGATTAGTTCTTATTTAAAAGGTAGGACCCAAAGAGTAATGCTGAGGCTGACAACCTCAAAACAGGTTCACGTTACTTCTGATGTTCCTCATGGTAGTCATCTTGGACCTTTACTCTTTACCCTTTTTATAAATGATCTCCCCTCGGCTATATCACATGCCCGTGTACTTATGTATGTGTACGATGTGAAACTTATTCTCTCATACATTAATACCCTACATTATTCTCGTCTACAAGATGATTTGAACGCTATGCAACTTTGGTGGTCTTCCTTGTTAATTGTTATCTTGTTAATTATACAATTGACAATACCCCATTGCAACGTATACTAACCGTTAAGGATCTATGCGTTCTTTTTGATTCTAAACTCAGCTTCAATCTGCATATAGATACCATCGTTAATGAGGCAACAGGTGTTGTAATATCTTTTTATATGTCGGTAGATATTATCGGATTTATTTGAGTTGATAAGTAAAACACATGCACGTCAGTGCGATCTGAAGTTCATATTGATAATGATTTTATTTTCTTCAGAAATGTTCTTTGCCTATGGATAACATATATAAATTTATGCTGTTATCGGTTAACAGCTACAAAGGGAGAGAGAGAAGAGCGAGTGTAGTCATACATATGTGCGCTCACTCTCGGAGCAGTTAAAGTGCAAGCTCAGCGTTCCCACGCTAGCTTGGCCTGCTCAAGTGGCTTCATGTTACTCATGTGCGCAGCACTGTATGTATATATGTATGTGCATACATATATACGATTATACTTATGCTATGCGCTTGAATTGATTTTTTATATTTTTTTTATACTTGCAACAAAATGTTACAAGTTGAGTTATGTATGAATACACTACACCTCCCTTTTTAAAGAAATAACGTAACATTATAAATGTGTTATTTAATTAAATTAATTATAACCTTTTTTTTTTGAAGCTTTTGTATATTTTTTGTTTTATAAAATTGTAAAATGTAATAACATTTTTTGAATTTAAAAATTGATTAAAATATATTGATGTAAAAATTGAAAAATTTTGATTATAAAAATTTAAGAATATAAATGGTTCCAATTTATGACCAGTACCTTATCTCCTACTTTTAATTTAAAGTTGACAATCTTATTGTCATAATATCTTCTATTTCTTGCCTTATGTTTTTCTAACATTATCCTAGCTCTTTAATATGCCTGTTCTAGTCTTTA